ATTACGCCTAATAAGAAGTAAGTAGCATTATTGTCGTCCTGTGCGCCTACTTCTGCACGTTCTATATTTTCAGATTTTGTTTCTGTATCAATTCCGTCATCAATTATTGCGGCGTCAGAGTTAGCTTCAGGTGCTGCTTCTTCTGCGTGATATATAGCAGGTACAATGATTTCCTCATCTACTCCATCATTAGTTTTATCATCGTTATCTTCAGCACCATCAAATATGCCCATACCGGCGCCAAATATATCTGGAGATTGTGTTGGTTCTACTTGTGGCTCCTCTATCGGTTTATTATCAAAGCTATCATCGTGGTTGCTGTCATGATCTTTCTCATTACTTGTTGGGTAGTGGAAGTCATGATTAACGAGAAAGTCTCTATCTGAGTGTAGTGCGATAAGAATTCCTGCACCACTACCAGAGCCATCATCTTCATCTACGTCACCAATCATTTCAGTTGTTGCCTCAATTGGATTATTTGTACTCAGTTCGTTTCTTAATGGCATATTCATTTCACCCAAGTCTCCCGAGCCTTCCACATCATTCAACTCATTGGATTTATTTGATGTTGGCTTCTTTTCAATTGGCATGTATGCTTTACCCAATTCATCTTCTTCCTCTTCATCGCCCGACCCTTCCATTGGTTGATCGCCCATCATTAACTCGTTCTCATCTTGATCTGCATTCCAACCTTGTTTTTCTTGCTCACAAATGTGTGCCTGCTTTACTTGCAACCATGATTGACCCTTCACTTCAACAGGATAACTGCACTTGACTGGATGTTCCATGAAAACATGATGCTGTTGTAACCAATTACGTACCTCTAAGGTTTCACATGAGCAATTTATTTGATTATGGCTTAACTCCAATGTGTGTAAGTTCTTGAAGTTGGTGAACTCAATTGGCAAGTAAGTGATGTCGTTGTGTTGTAAGTTTAAGACCTGCAAATGATGTGGCAGCTTTAAGAGCTTTCCTGAGGTTATGCGATTGCCTTTCAAATTCAATTTTTTAATACGGCGACCCAAATGGCCGATTTCATGCAATTCGTTGTGCGACAAGTCGATCGAAGTCAAATCGTGTAACTTATCCAAAGAATGCGAGAGACGTGCCAGACGAAGATATGATAAGTCAATGGAATGTATGGGCAGTGTGGTCTGTAGAGGTGCCTTAGTCTTCAGACCATTCAAACTCTTACATTTCGCATGCAAAAATGTGTGTTGTGTGTTGGGTGGTATCACACATTGGCAGTCTTCGGGGCAGTTGAAATTGTCATCAGCCTCTGTGTCAGCTGAAGTAGTAGAGAAAGTGCAGAGCAGTAGTGCAGCTAAAGCTACGAACACCTTCTGATTCGGACGTAGCATTTCGTTATATGAAACGGAAGGTCGGTGTTCTGTTGAAATATTTGATGTGTTGACGTTTATATTTACAAAATATCAATGCTCTCCTCTTATGATGTGGACGAGTATCAACTGGAAAAATAATCAAAAAAAAATAAAAAATACATTAGGAAATTATATTCAACCTATTTTTCTATTTAATTATATAAACACACATTTTTAAGCGAACCTAAAGCTACAATGGCAAAAGTCTGACTAAGCATAGCCGAAAAAAACTATATGAAGAATTGTTGTAGTGTCGCAATTCTACTCGTGAATAACGTCATACCTTATCGCCCATCGATTATGCACCAAACTTGTGTTGGCAACTTATTCACTTATCAAGTGTCAACTCACTTATCGGTGATAAATTCGATATCTCCCACTTTCGAACACTCGTAATTGATTTTACTTTTCCATTTCAACTTTATTTTCGCACTTTTTTGTGCTTGTGTGTGTGTGTGTCGCCTCGATTTTGAAGAGCCACTTTTCGCACTAACAATGACATCAGATTTTGTTAATTGTTCTTGTGATTCGGATTATTTTTATGCAAAAAAGTAAAACAAACTCTGACGTAAGACTTATGTTAACCGGCTTTAGTGACTCAGTCACACTAAATGCGGCTTAATGATCTACAGTCTACAAACCCACAGATATTTCCATATTTTATTCATTTCTTATGACTTGCAAATGAAATACAATTGATTTCATTGTCTGTCGCTAATGCAACAATTAATTTTTTAAATAACACTTTTAAGCATGAAGAGAGAGGGGATTACTAAATACAATTCAAAAATAAAACAAAGGAATTTGGGAGAATACTGATCATTTTGATCCTATCTATTACTTCTCTTAGATATGTAGTGATATTAACAGTATGATTTTAACAGTTTACCTAGTAATATATATATATGATATTATAACATGTGAATATGATATTCAGCCTTGTTATACTAATATCGATAAACCAAATTTAATAGTCTCTATTTTCATCATAAATGTTTTTAACTAGTTAGTACTACGTAGGACATTAGATCCTGAGCAATTGTTTTGTTGTATAAGTGAAGCAAAAACTTTATACTTTATAATTTTATAATAATAGAAAAATTAAAATAAATTGTAAGACCAATTACTTAAATTAAATATAATAATATTAGAGAAAATAAAATAATATTATATAAAAAACAAAATAATAATAATAAATTAAATAATATTATACAAAGCAAAATTAAATAAAATTAAATTAAATTAAATATAAAAAAATATAAATTAATATAAAATAAAACACAATCAAATAATGTAAAATAAATTTAAAAAAAATTATAATTATAATTATAATAATTACATATATTATAATTATAAAGTACATTATTTTAAAATATGATATTGTAATAAATTAGCCTCCTTACGTTTCAAATAAAATAAAATAAAATAAAGGAAAATTGAGTTAGATAAAAATAAAATAATTATAATATAATGCAATATAATATAACATTACATAACAAAATAAAATAACACAAAAAAACAAAGCCATTTAAATATAATAAAATGAAATAAAACAATATAAACTAAAATATAACAAAATTAAATAAAATAAAATAAACTAAAATAAAACAAACTAAAATAAATTAATATATTACGAAGTTAAATGTAATTAACTGGAATAAATTAGAATAAAATAAAATGAAACATAATTATATAAAATAAACTGAAGTAAAATATAATTAAATAAAATAGAATAAACTATAATAAAATATGTAAGGTTAAATATATTTTAAAATATAAAAGTTAAAAAAATAAAGTAAACTAAGATTGAATTAAATAAAATAAAATAATATAAAGTAAAATATATTGAAATATAATAGTATAAATTGTAATAAGATAAAGTATAATATATAAAAAAATAAAACAAAATAATATATAATAATAAATTAATTATAGTTTAATATGGAAAAATTACAAAAAAATTATGTAATTAAAAAATAAATTAAAATAAAGTAAATTTAAATAAAATAAAATAATATAAAATAAAATAAAAAAAAATAAAATAAAATAAAATAAAATAGAATAGAATAAAATAAAATAATATAGAACAAAGTAAAGTAAAACAAAACAAATCAAGATAAAAAAGAAAATGGAATGAAGTAAACCAAAATACAGTAAAATAAAATAAATTAAATTAAAAAATATAATAAAATACTACAACATATTATATACTTTAAAACAGAAATATTAAAAAAAAATTGAAATAAAATAGAGTGAAGTAAAATAAAATAAAATTAAATTAAATTAAATAAATAAATAAATAATAAATTGAAATGAAAATGAAGACGAGGGTAATATAAATAAAACTTAATTTCTCATTAAATGAAACCCAGAGATCTACGACAGTGGATTGCTATGTCCACTTTAGCACTGCACATGCTTTTATCCTGCGGTGCAAAAGAAGGAAGTACGATAAACAATTGAGTTTAAAAAAGATAAATTAAACAAAATAATAAATTAAATTTAAAGTATTTAATAATTAAATTATAAAACTGTAAATCATATAGAGAAAATAAAATGAGTCCACTTAAATTTTCTGCTGCACATAGCAATTGCATTCTTTCTTCATTTAAGCGATTTAAGGAAATTCACTATTAATAATAAAATACGATATATAAATTATAATAAAATAATATAATAACAGTTTTAACTGCGCTATATTCAATTTAATTCCTTTATGTAAAACCAGAAGATTAAGCAATCTTTTAACATTGGAAAGTCAACCTCAAAAGTGTAAATCGCTAGAATAGAAATGCACAAACAAAACTGAACAAGACTTCGCCAATGCGGATAATTTACAGATTACAGATTGCAACAATCAATAGAAATTGCATAATGGCGCTATTGAGCTTGACCGCATTCACAACTTTACAGATGCACTTTATATGAATCGATTAAGCACCGTGCCATGCCGCCCACCTTAGATGCTCAACTACTGCTTAATGCAAATACGAACACAAAGCACAGTAACAGTAACTCAAATCAAAGCAGAATGGATTTGCATTCAATTTAGTCTTTCCATCAAAAGCAACAATTGCCACATAAATAAAGACATTTTCCAGCTGAATTCAGCGTTCATTGATTAATTCACTCATTCAGAATTGCCATATACAATTTAGCACGCGTCAATTTAACAATCGCAATCGCAATCGCCCCCGGTATAATCGCTCGAGGACCGAACACAACGCGCAGACCGGGCAAGCCGGGCAGAGATCGGAGGCATTCAATTTAAAGTGCATTCATTAGAGAAGCCTCAGTCGATTGTTCGCTGCGTACCTTTGTGCCCATAGAAGCCGTGCACGGCGTACTGCGCTGGGTGAACCGAAAATAGATAATAAACTCACCAGACGGCCGAACTCAAATGCACAAATATTTGCAATAATAAAAATGTTTAAATTCGCCAACAATGAATGCAATTTCATTTATAAAATTCATACTAAAAGTAACGATACGGCGATCATTTCACCTACAAAAACGAAAAAAAAAAACGGAATAATAGAAAAAAACAAAAATGCATTGCAAAACCGCATCGCGATCTGTAGGCAGTGAACCTATAGTCATAATAAAATAAAACTAAAATAAATTTCAAGTCTAGAAAATAGATTAAGTGATCATCATCATTATCATCATCATCAATAACAACGTCGTTATTAGGTTACAAACATTATCCGCGGTATTTGCATTATCAATTATGCATGCACCGGCCACTTGGTTGCCGCTTCGCCGTTTTGCCATTCTGCCATTTTCCCATTTGGCGTATTCCGCATGAATTAAGCCATTTTACCGCACTCAGTGCAGCAAATTTAAATTGATTGAAACCGAGCGCCCGTTGCACGGAGGAGCTGTGGAGTCTGAAACTAAGTCTAATCAATATGCTGGAATGAAAAATAGATCACTAACGCAAACCCCAAATAACATTGTAAGGCATTTAGTGCTTTTTCCACAATTTTTTTTTCTTTTTTTGTATTCCATACACTTTATGTAAATCCGTCGGAGCATATTTATGAGGAGCGATTACAGACAATAACTGAGCGTTTTGATTAACTCGTTCCATATTCAACATGAATAAATGTATTTCTAATCGAAATGTGATAAGTTCAAAGTCATAATTAATCTCTAACAAAACTGGCGCAAAACATTCTAAATCATGTATTTATTTAAATATATTTATTAGTTTACTAAATACGAGTATTTTATGTAAAAGTCAGTCTCCGAAGCTATTAAATATGATTATAATGATATATAATGATATAGATGTGTCCATCATAATGTAGTGAGTAGAGTACTTAACTGACACACCTAAGTACCCTGACTTAAAAGCCATGATTTTGACTTTCTACAACAAGATTAGATTTTCTTAGTAAATATCTCTATCCGACCAATGTAGTTATATTGTAACACCACTCACTAAACGCACGGTGCGGTACGCAGATCTTAGATCAATCATTGAATAATCACGAAGAAGGAATAGCCAAATTAGTCAGTGAGATGAGCGGGACTCTGTGGATTCCTCCCAGCTATCATAGAGTAAAAGTGCCCAGATACACTAACTCGAAAAAGGCTTAACATAAACATTTTAGATTGGTGAATCTGGGGTAACTTTTTCAAACAAAATTCACTTTTAATGCAATTATCATTTTCGTTTGGTAAATCTCGAGCGAATGCCAGATTAACAAGATTCCACTAAAATTATCAGCTGTTTTATATGACTTGAAAAATATAATGTGACTTGATTCGATATATGTATCTATGAAAAATATAAATGCCTACTAACACTACTACAAAAATTTTAGATTACTCTAAAAATGTTTGATTGAGCAAATAAATTTGACAATTCGAGAGCAAATCCAAATGAAATCCAGATTTACCAATCGAAAACGCCATAAGTAAGGCACACATCAGCACTCTGGAATTGCTTTTCATACTCGATTTTATCAACATTGGATTTTTTAGTAGATGTATTCACCGTAACGCAGTGAGTGATGTACTAAAATTGTCTAAATTGATGTACTAAATTGTCAAGATTTAAATGATATTCATGCAGTTTG